GGGATTGTTAGTAATGTGGACTAATGACCCCATACCTAACAATGTAACATGTTAGGTTGACCTCCACGCGGTTCTTTCTGGAAACCAACGTGATAAATTCACTATGAATTCGGGGCTCAGCCGTCTCTCGGGTCAATTCTTTAAATTTCTTTAATTCTAATAAAAGTTTATTATTAGTATCAATCGTGGAGATCTTTTGGGGAGGCCTATGTCCAGCAGTGGACGTCTTCCGGGCTGCGATGATGATGATGATGATTAGTATCAACTGTGGGCCAGATTCGAACTAATTACAGTTCAATTTAAGTCAGGGTAGCTGGGCCACAACTATCGAAAACATTCCAAATAAAATAAACAGTAAGTAGCTACTGACAGCTCAATGAACGAATGAATGAAAAACTCTTTATTGTTTCTCTCGCAGAAATAAAATAACAATTATATATCATAAATTAATATGTACACCAAATATAAAAAAAAAACAACAATTAGAATATGTTGGTTTTTATTTTATTTCACGACGGGCTCCATTCATTCATCAAAACCTCACATATTACAACATAGTGACGCTGCCATCTGTTGGTTATAATCGGTACTACAGTAATTTGAAAATCATGTTGGCATCGTGTTGTGTGCATACGTAATTCTTGCTATCTTCGATAGATGGCGCTAGTTGCACCAAAACTATTATTTTAAATCCTAACTAAATGTCATAAACAATTGTAATAAAAACTACTACAACTACTATTGAAAGAAATATTATTCTAATTATATACAATAATATTTAAGTATTTTTATAGAAGTCATTCATAATTATTTCAATAGCTGATGGTCGTGTCGTGAGCTAGTGTTCTCTGGTCTGTTCGGGTTACGAACACTGATTAGACTATTTGCTTTTGCAATAGCATATGCTGGTGGTCACTCTATTCTCCCATAATTTGAATTTAAATTTAAATGAATCTGTATTATTGTAAACATGTATACATTTACTTGAAAACAATACGAGCTGAGTTTCTTGTCAGTTCTTCTCATCTCGAAATCATTTCGAACTGACGGTAGATTTGACATATCTAATAGAATAAAGATATCTTGAATTTTGAATTTGAATCTGATCGTTGCAAGAAAAAAACTATATTACATATACGTACATATGAAACAACAGTAACAAACTCCTCTGATCGACTCCCCGTCCAATTCAAACGGGGATCGAAATTACGATCGCCTGAGACGAGGTTCGAAACCCTAGCGGTGCCCTCAGACTAAAGTAAGGCGTAAGGCGGAAGTTGGTCTTCAGCCGCTCCATAAGTCCTTCCTTTGGTTTGGAGTGCCATCTGCACTCGCATCCTATCGTCCGGTGAAGCTGTAAGGCCATCTGCGGCCGGCAGAGAGTAGTTCGAAAATTTTTTTCAGTGGTTTTGACTACCCCATTAGGTATAATGGTTGCGAATGTGCAATTATAATAAAAAAATTTGATAATCTGAGCTGTAATTTATATTTTGCAGTGTGTATTTTGGTCACAAGGTCTTAAATACCATATAATAATACAATTACTATATCCAACCACGCATTAAGTTTGTTTACGTAGATAGCAGTTCTATTTATAGGATTTTCACCTCAAAAAAATTACGAAACATCATTAATACAAACACATACACACCCACATCAACTTGGCGTATTCAGTTTTGCATACAACGTATCATTTTTTATATTAAATAATAGCTGTTCCCGCAACAACCTCCGCGTGGAATTTAACTTTATTTTTTCTAAAATATAGGTAGCCTAAGGTACTCCTTATTACATCAGCTACCTGCCAAAAAAGTCTCGTCAAAATCGATCCAGCCATTTCAGAGATTACCCGGAACAAACAAACAGACAGACAGGCAAAAATTGTAAAAAATGTTATTTTGGTGTATGTACCGTATGCATGTACTAAAAAACGGTTATTTCAATATTACAAACAGACACTCTAAGTTTATTTATATGTATAGATTTTCTACAGTACACGTTCAGTAATAACATAATATTATTAACATAATATACAAATAAATGAAATTGATGTATCTGTTTGTTATTTTAAATTGATATATTTTCCTAACTGTCTGTCTATGCTATTCTGGCTTATCTGTGAACTGTGTTGGACCTATTTTGACTAGTCTTAGGTAATGTGTAGTTTATACATGAAATGTTTATATCATAAATTAAATTATTACAATTAATGTAGAAATATCAAATCTTTGAATAAGTGAAAACAAACATTTTGATGAAATAAAAAAAAAACATCGCTTGTATACGAGACAAAATCACGTGTACAAAATATGCAAATTGAATTCAAATTTATATTTGTATGTTCCGTACACGTTTGTATATGAGATAAAAATTTCCAATAGTAATAAATATTTTTTTTTATATGCTATGGTCGCAAACAGGCATTTTTTTTATTTTTTTATTGGGTTCTTTGGGCTATTGTCAGATGTTTGTAGCACCTGTAGCACTGCGACCTACATATATCTATTGTGCTCGCACTTTTACACAGTTCGCTACCTAGACCCGTCAGGGACAAGAATTGTAGGATATTCTTAGGAGCGATGGTTTTTATCTCCTCGGGAAAGAGTGTAAACTTTCCAAAGGAGATATTTCGTTCATGCATGAGTGGGCTACAACCACATAGGATGTGAAGCGGCGTATCCTCTTCAGTTTTCAGAATCTGCAGGCAGGCATACGGCCCATCTGATGGTAAACGGTTACCGTAGCCTATGGACGCCTGAAACACCAGGGTGTCACGTGCACGTTGCCAACCCTTAAGGAACCTTAATATACGCTTCTGAAAAATTTTTATTGCAGATGTACAAAATATTCAAATTTCATTTTGTATGTTTTGTAAATGTTTCTTTAAGTAACTCATACCTCAAAAAGAGGTCAAAATGAACTGTGTATTGTAGATGATTGTCATTAGAGGTGCAGTTAATCGTCGTAGCGTTCAACTTAATATGTACAGTGAGAACACATCTCTCTACACTTGACCCAGTTACCTAATTATACGAACCACGAATAAACCAACAGACAATTGTACCACTATTTATATATCTATACATATAAATAAAATTGGAGTGTCTGTTTGTGATATTGAAATAGCCGTTTTTTACTACATGCCTATGAATATAAATACGGTACATACACTAAAATAACATTTTTTACAATTTTTGTCTGTCTGTCTGTTTGTTCCGGCTAATCTTGGTTAATGGTTGGACCAATTTTGACGGGCCTTTTTTGGTAAGTAGCTGATGTAAGGAGTAACTTAGACTACTTTTATTTTATGAAAAATTCTTTTATTTTAGACAAATAAAGTTAAATTCCAGACGTAAATCAGGACGAAATCGCGGAAACAGCTTTATATATATATATTTTTTAAGTTTGTTATTCACCAATTTTATTAGTTTGTAGTCTTGTTAAGTTATTCTCAATGTTTATGTTTACTTTGTTAGTAGTAGTTTAGAACTTACTTACTTACTTAATGTGCTAACGTCGTCGTAGATTATTGTATTATTTTACTGGTAAATGTTATAACAGAATAGCAGAGAGGGTGGACTCACTGCCCCCACTGAGTTATAGACCGTTTTGTCTCCTTCATTACATTTAAAGTTTATTATTGTATAAACAACAATATAACAACAGATGCCGTGCCCAGTGGCGTGCCTTGGGAGAGACCTATGTCCAGCAGTGAAATGCAGTGGCCTGATGATAATGAGGAGGATGATGATGGGCAACAATTGTATTAGTTTTTGTTTGAGACAAATAAAGATTATTATTATTTCTTAAACTTAAAAAAAATCTCATCTCATTATTATTATTATTATTAACACTAACGTCGCATTTTCTCAGGTTTTACTGATTTTTTACCACACTTATGGACCGAAATCAAATTAGTGCAGTGTTCCTATGTATGTATGTTATATATACACTTCTCTAATACATAAAAATCGTGTAACAGGTTCCGTGTTTATACTCCTCCGAAACGGCTTGATCGATTTTGAAGAAACTTTATATGCATATTCAGATAGAGTAGGTTTATAACTAATGATTCCCACTACATCGCCCAGATTGATTATCAATCATCTTTCAGTTATATATTATTCAAATGAAATGAAGGTTAAAAAATGACGCGACGTGTGAATAAATAAATAGTATATACATATAATAAACATGTTTTTATTGTTTACTTACAATTAAGTAAATTAGCACGTAATCTAATATCACAGATACAAAATCACAACCTTATAATGACACAGAATAAAAATATATCGCGTGTTAAAAAAAATGGGATTTATCTTTGACACATATCTCTAAAAGACCTAGAAATATAGTTTAGTATAATGTATCATGTATCAAAACTTTATGTATGGATGTTTACTAACTTATGTATTAGTTATAATTGATATGCCAAGCCTATCGGCAACACACAGATATATACGGGTATGCTGAAATACAAGGAAGGAATAGTTCAAAAATTAAAATATTAAATTAGATTTTTTATATAAAATTCGCGTTAATTTACCATGGAAAATAAAATTAGATCTCTTTTTATTATATGTCCACATTGCTTTGACTGATAAATTTTGTTCAATTTTATAAGTATTCTACCTAAATCAAAAGTATTCTAATTTTCTATTGGGACGTATGGAACCCTTTTACGACTAACTGTAAGTATATGGCATACATAAACTATAATACATATATATGTATATAATAAACAAAGAGAGGTGATATATTGTATTCTTACTAAGAGAGTAAGAATACAACCTATCACCCCTCTTTGTTTATTCATTACCAGCACATCGACTAGGATGTATTAATACTCTAATCTAGTAAAAATAGCAGAAAGATTTCAAAAGTATATACTTCGAACCTTGTACGTATGAGAATGGTAACTTGAAAATCTTCCTACCAAAGAAAAACACCCATGTCCAACAGTGGGATGACAAGTAATATTAAATTTCAAACTACTCCGGTTATAACCGTAACCACGAAAAGATATCGAAAGGGTTGAAGACTTGCAGTTGAGTATCCGTCCGTCTTATGTCACCGCCATTATTAGACTTATAGAGAAACATGCCTCTAGAATTGGCACTGCACGAGTACCCCACTACCGTCTCGTTCCCAGTACACTGTCCACTCATCAGCTGATCCCAGCTGAAACACTTCCGTCCCATTAGAGATCGCTCGTTCACCACCGAAGCTGCATACAGCCGCCAAGCTTGCGCGTGATCACATTCCAGGGAGATACTCCTGTCTCTACACTCTGGCTGCTTCACTGACACACCATTCACGTAAATATCTGCATCTCCCACTGGATGCTCGAGACCCAGCACTCCAGCGCTGGAATGGACTACATGAACGAAGTCTGCGTCGCTTCTATTCAGCCGGTACTCAGAAGGCCTCATGAAACACGGTCGAGCTGGATCCAAAGCTATTATCCTCCCCAGGCTTCCTCGTAAACCTTTTTGGACCAACTTGCCCGTCATCCCGGCGACGTGAGCTCCCAAACTGAATCCTATAACGTGGATAGAATACAATGGATACCCTTGCTGATGGACATTCCTGATGAAGCTGTATAGGAGATGAGCTAATGGTTTCACCCGAGATGCAGAAGCAATGTAGCCCCGCCGGAAGATGGGTCTTGTGTCGACGGCTAAAACGATGGGGTTTTTTCGAAGTAGAGCTGTCACTAAACCATCTGAGGATTCGTCTGTTGGAGTATTCCACCATCCAGGGACGTAGATGAGGAGCAATGGTGGCGGTGGATGGTCGAGGAGGCGTTGGTGCGCTGCAGAGATCCTGTAAACTCGGGTGCGGCCGCGTGTGAACTCCACCATGTCGAGGAATGGCATCTCGGATGTGTACCTTCGTGAGAACAGCAGCTCCAAGGGCAGAATATCACCTGCGAAATAATATATTCATAGCAGACAGCTGTTTGATTACGAATAAATATTGATAAATACGTCTCCAATCAAATTCTCCATCTTAGATACTAACAACTCGCCCCAGCTTCGTCCGGGTGTACATGTATTATGCATATAATCTTGAATCACTCTATCTATTAAAAAAAGACAGCTTCAAAATCCGTTGCGTAGTTTTAAAGATTTAATAGGGACGGACAGACAGCGACAGCTACTTTGTTTTATACTATGTAATGATGGCATTAAGGCTCCAATATAACACTGAACCTTTATAAATGCGAGGTTAGAACACCCTAAAGCTGCCCACAGACTAAACTTGTATCCCTCAAGCAGGAGTTGGCCTGCAGCCGCTCCATAAGACCTTCTGAGGGTTTGGAGTGCCATCTGCACTCACCCTTATGCTGCCACCTGCAGCTTTTTAAAAAAAGTTTGTTAAACAAAAGAATCATCAAAATCGTTCTAGAATCGATATCACGTAACACAAACATACAGAAATATATCAAATCGAATTGAAAGATTCAGTTTGAAGTCGGTTTCACGTATCACCTACGTGCTCAGATTATTTTAAAGATGTTTCAATAATATTTTCACTTAACTGTTAAAAATATAATGAGCACGTATGACTATAGCAAACAGTTATAGACAATACGTACACGTAATCTAAAGTAATCTATACATATAAATAAAATTGGAGTGTCTGTTTGTAATATTGAAATAACCGTTTTTTACTACATGCATATGAATATAAATATGGTACATACACCAACACATTTTTTTAAATTTTTGTCTATCTGTCTGTATATTTGTTCCGGCTAATCTCTGAACCGATTTTGACGGGATTTTTTTGGCAGGTAGCTGATGTAATAAGAAGTAACTTAGACTACTTTTATTTTAGAAAAATAAAGTTAAATTCCACGCGGACGAAGTCACGGGTACAGCTAGTCTAAAATAATGTTGATGATTCATTTTGCTACAGCCCGAGTATATTTCCCATTTTGCTCTAATTTTCATTATGAGATAATATTTTTTCTAAAACAATATCTTCACGTCAGTTAGTAACTGTATGTCCTTGGTTAATCTAGGATATGATCTTTATGTGTACCAAATTACATTGGAATTCGTCCAGTATTTTTTTTGAGTAACAAACATTCTCAAACTTTCGCGTTTATTTTAGGCTTTGCTCATGCTGAACAATACAAATATTATTATATCTATTGCACAATAATTATTTGAATTAAATTCGATTTGTAGTTTAATATTTAAGAGAATTTTTATCACTGTGTGAGATTTTTATATTTAGTCTGTATCTCGAAATATATATACAAAAACTATTGGTTAATTTTGTAATTTAAAAAAAGAACTTTCAGTTCATATTTATTAATTTATTTGATAATGCTAATTAAAACAAAAAAAAAAAAATAGAAATAAAAAAACATAAAATCTGAATTGTGATCGCTATTACAGAATTACGTAACGGTAGTTAAGTTTCCGCGCCAAATATTTGTGTTCTCATACATGCTAATTGTGGCGGAATTAAAAAAAATAATATAAATCACTCACAAATTGATATAATAATGAAATCCACTCAGCATTTTTATCTTAACGTTATTTTCTAGCTTCATAAACATTTAATGAATTTCTAAAAAAACCGGCAACTAGCGATTCTCATTATGCAAACGTAATTGGTACAGTTGCCACTTACCATCAGGTGGTCGGATCCCTAATAATAAAAAAACACTCACAGCCCTATAGCCCTAATCGCATTGTTACCACTATCACTGCACGGAACGTACAACTGTCGGCTGCAGCTTTCACCAGCTCTTCGAAGTTGTTCGCGATGAACGGCGGCAGCACCGCCCCCAGGGTCGCGAGGGTGTCCCCCCTCACCCCGGAGGCGAGCAGCATCAGCACAGCACCCAAACCGGCAGCCACTCTCGCGCGTCTCATCGCTCACACTGCATCCACGCTTACATAACCTCTAATATAAAGAATGAGAATTTTGGTTACCCTTGATACAGACCGACGACACAATATATAACTACCGCGGCGCCCCGACTTCGATCGAACTTAATCGTAGGAATCTAATTCTTAAATTAGATAAGAGATAAGTTCTAATTTTTACAATCATTACATAGTATAAAACAAAGTCGCTGTCGCTGTCTGTCCGTCCGTATGTAGATAGATAGATAGATATATCGTTTATTTGTTTGTTACTAATCACACACAACATGTTCATAGGAATACAAAATACATAATACAATATAAGATTTATAAAATTGTGCTATTATGTGTGATCTGTAGCAATACAAACAGATCGAAGCTCAGCGTGGAACATTGTTCAGGGAACAAAACACTGATTTTCAGCTTCAACCCATTTGAGACGTGAAAATAATAATTAAAATAAATATACTATAAAAAGAGCAATATTATTGTTGACTGTCTGTGCGGTGTGTGTATAATAAAAATAATGTAAATAGTTCAGAATATAATTTGATATACTTTTAACTGTAAGGATCAACAAAAAGAAAAAAAGAAAATATTAATAATAGTACCGAAAAAAAAAAAAAATTTTATGTATGCTTAGATCTTTAAAACTACGCAACGGATTTTAAAGCAGTTTTTTTTAATGGATAGAGTGATTCAAGAGGAAGGTTTATATGTATAATACATGTACCTGTGCGACGCCGGTGGGTGACTAGTAAAATATAATCCACTAGCTGTGCTCGCATTTATAATCTGATGTATCTTATATTACAGTAAAGTTTCATCAAAATCCGTTCAGTAGTTTTTGCGTGAAAGAGTAACAAACATCCATCCATACTCACAAAATTTCGCGTTTTTAATATTACTAAGATATAACTCGCTGAGAATGCTGATTTCTACAACTGTAAAATTTTTAAAGTTTTTTTTTTATTTAGCCGTTAAAAAGAACAAAAATCAAATAAACCTCTTTATTTATTATACGAGGTTTAGTTGTTATATTGACTTAGTAAATTATGTTTTTTATGCAGCTTCCGGTATCAAATAAAGCCTAATTTGTTTATGCATACGGAAGTACAGAAATAGATCTATCACAATGACTGTTTACTTATTTAATATTTAACTATTCATATAAAGTTATTTTAAGTATTTTAACACGTTTTTTCGCATGGATGCTTCCTTAATAAATATACTTGTTTATAAATATGTTAATTATTACACCTATGTGAATATTATAAAATGTAAATTGGTTTGTTTGTAATTTATATCTGGAACTAGTACGGCCTTGGTAATTTAGCACAGCGCTTTACTTCCATCGCGGGTTCGATTCCCAGCACGGTACAAACATTTGTATTCACGAGTATAATTGTTTATATCGGTCTGGGTGTTTACTATGTATAATATGTATGTATTTACAAAAAAAAATCTTAGTTACTTAGTACCTATAACACAAGCTTTAGCTAGCTTAACCTGTCTAGATGGCGCTGTGTGATTTGTCCTGTGATTAATATATTTGTGTATTAAAAAAAATGATTTTATACTAGTTGTTTAGTACCTATAACACAAGCTCTTATCTTGGGACTAGATGGCGCTGTGAGAATTGTCCGGGACTTCTAATATTGTAATGATTTAAACTTTTTTTAATAGTAGATACTCAGCAATAAAATCCTCGAGTGGCGACCGCGGACCGGAAGACGCAGCGTGGGAAGGCCTCCAGCAAGGTGGACCGACGATCTGGTCAAGATCGCCGGAAGGCATTGGATGCGAGCGGCGCAGGACCGATCGTCGTGGAGATCTTTGGGGGAGGGCTATGTCCAGCAGTGGACGTCTTCCGGGCTGCGATGATGATGATGATGATGAGTAAAGGACTCATTACTATTGTTGTCTCATTTTCTAAGTGTTTCCAGATTGTTTTTACATTTAGTGGTGGATAATTCATACATACTATACATTTTTATACAATATACATTTTTTACCATACTTACGGGCCGAAACCAAGTAAGTGCATTGTATGTGTGTGTGTGTCTGTGTGCGTTTCCGTACGTACAGGAAGTAAATGTATTTTTTATAGGTATGTTATTTATTCCTTTTTATTATCTATGTTGATGCTATTTTGGGAAATATTTTTCTCAGCTTTCTTTAGATTCTATCTTGAGCAATATATTCATCGAAAATTTTATACAAATTTCTCCGGTCGTTTAGATGTGAAACCTTACTAATTACTAAATAAACAGACTATATTCCCCTGGTCATGATAATACGATTTATTATATGATTAATTAATTACGCATATTATACACAAACAATATGTATATATTGTGTGACTGGTGTTATATCCTTTTCATCTAATACTTCGTCGCTAGTTCCGTCCCCGTAGATAATCTATACATATAAATAAAATTGGAGTGTCTGTTTGTAATATTGAAATAACCATTTTTTACTACATGCATATGAATATAAATACGGTACATACAAAAATAACATTTTTTACAATTTTTGTCTGTCTGTCTGTTTGTTCCGGCTAATCTCTGAAATGGCTGGACCGATTTTGACGGGACATTTATTGGCAAGTAGCTGATGTAATAAGGAGTAACTTAGGTTACTTTTATTTTAGAAAAATAAAGTTAAATTCCACGCGGACGAAATCACGGGAACAGCTAGTATACAATATATATACATTACACTCAGTAATTATTAATTGATATAATGTAGTATGTCATAATGAAATAGGATTTACATATTTGAATAAAATTTCTATAACACCATAGACAGAGAGTGCCGTAACATTGTACCATCTCCGACGACCTTCGGCCCTGTGTTGACCGCGGACGGTCAACCTTCACCTGCATCATCTATAACTAGGGTTGCCATCTGTCCGGGTTTCCCCGGGTTTGTCCTAGTTTAGAGGGTATCCGAGGAGCGTCCGGGGTAATGAATGAATGAATGAATGAAAAACTCTTTATTGTTCATCCCACTAAAAGAAATTAACAATTACATAAATTAATATGTACACCAAATATAAAAAAAAACAATTACAATATATAGGTAAGAATGGGCGGCCTTATCGCTAAATACATAGCGATTTTTCTTTCTTCTTGGTTTTATATTAAAGTAGGTACTAATAATTTGTTTTATTTTAATAACAAAAAAAATCGTTCTAATTATTAGAACTATTTATAACAAACTGTAATAAGATTCTGTTTTGTTAAAATGATGATAAAAATTACTTTAATAAATTTTAATTTTAAGGTCTGAAAATAAATAAAAAAGTGATTTTTGACCATATTTAACTGTATTTTTATTACACTGACTATATATTATGGACCATCTATTGACCTGTCCTTTGTGCCCAACAATCTGCAAAAAGGATGATATAAAAAATGCGACAGAATGCGCAAAAGTCATCGCAACATTCTGGAGAAAATACATTTCGTTGCCATTGAAACGAAAGAAGAAGAAGAAGAATTATAATGACATTTAAAAAACCTTTTGGTTTTTAAATGTCATTTCAGGACTCTAAAATGCGGGGCTTACACCCGTCTTTGTTTACAAATTTTAGAAAATGACAACCCTATCTATAACCATGGGTGTTTGTCTCTAATTTACATTTGGTACGACCCACGCGTAGGGTTGCCACCTGTACTTTATAATAAACTATTGTACGTTATTTTAGGTAATTGTACTCTATACTTTATGTGAATAATAAAGTACACGAAAATGCTTTATTTCGCATGTTTTTATTTCTGTGGGATTTTGAATAGTTCAGTCGTATGTCTATATATGTATCTTTTCATTAAACGAAATTTATCGATTGGTGCTGACTGTATCGATATTATTCATTACTAGCTGTTTTAATTTAACTTTATTTTTCTAAAATAAAAGTAGCCTAAGTTACTCCTTATTACATCAGCTACCTGCCAAAAAAAGGCCCGTCAAAATCGGTCCAACCATTTCAGACATTTGCCGGAACAAACAGACAGACAGACAAAAATTGTAAAAAATGTTATTTTGGTGTATGTACCGTATTTATATTCATATGCATGTAGTAAAAACGGTTATTTCAATATTACAAACAGACACTCAAATTTTATTTATATGTATAGGTTGTAAAAATGCTGTGCAATTATTTAGTAGAGATACTAATTTGATACAAACTACAAAAAGCAATAAAAATACGTTCTTAAATATAATAATAAAAAAAAATTAATTGTACTTTTTTCTTAACTATAATAACCAAGGCGGATCCAGGGGGGTCATGGGGGTCATGACCCCCCCTGAACCCAGGACTTACGTGGACCACTAAATGAACATAATGATTTTATTTATACATTTTGTCACCATACAGATTTTATTAATATTTTTAAGTACAGTACGTACATTAATAAGATGCCTACTTTTTACTTGTACCTATTGTTATCAAAATTAAATTATAAGTGACTTGACTGTGAAGGATTAGGTATCAGGATGGCGAAACAAAACTATACATAGAAAATTATTTATTTTTATAATGAATGGTATAGTAAGGTACAAAGGCAAAACAATATACAACTGGATAAATTCATTTTTAAACACATGTCAAATTAATATAAAAAAGTAATTCATTCTAACAACTCTAAAGAGTTCTGTAACATTGACCACGACTATGTGACCCCTCCTGTCGCCAAAGCTGGATCCGTCCAATGTACTTTAACTGGTATAAAGATGGCAACCCTACCACGCGCCACGCGCCGCGTCCATCCTAAAATTACACCTAATTGTACCTAATACACAAAAATGTCAGTGATTTAGTATTCAAATATACAGCGTGATGTAACCTACCTGAATACGTGGTATCTCACAATACTGTCAAATGTTAATGGGAAATTTTAAATCAGTGTTGTGAACGTGGATGAGTATAAGGGCAGAGGAAGGCCGAAAAAGAGATTAATGGATTTTGTGAAATTATATTCAAATACAAATTCAAAATA